TGATGGGCTCCAGGGGGATTCACAGCCTGCCTGCCACGGACTCGCGTGAGCAAGGCACGTGTCTGAATCTCAGTTTCTATCATCGGAAGGTCATCCCCTCAGCCCACACCTTGTAGGGTTTCGAGAATGTTCGGTAAGTGGCTGCTGTTCACAGAATCTGTTGTGTTCACCTCTCCAGTCAGACCTATTCGGCTTCCTGGCCGAAGTCTTGAGAATGCTTGAGTTGAAAGGCACTTGGGCAGAGCTTCTGGTTCTGGTAGGAGCAGGAGGCACAGAACCTGCCTGGTTTTGAGATCAAGCCCGAGACCTCGTTTGAGGATAATGGATTAGAAAGCTGCTTCTGATGTTACCTCTCAAGATGCCCAGATCTGTGTGGGTCAGGTGGTGGCATTGTCTCACTGGTATTCCTCTATTTAATAAAGTAGGACATGAGACACAATAAAGTTATTTTCATTTTGGAAGAAAATGAAACGTAGCCTGAAAACATGTTTATTTTCCCTCAATCTGTCCCAGTGCAAACAGGCTGCCACTTAACCCTGATCTCGTTTAAGCATCATTTCACAGATGGCCTGCCCAGTCCCAAAGAGGTGAGCCTCCTTGGAGGGTGGGCCCACCCCGGGACCCAGGGCACTCTTTCGGAATCAGGGCTGGAGCACAGGGTGTCACAGCCATGGGGCCACCAGCTCTGGAGCCAGACTGCCTGGGTCCATGTCCTGGAGATGACCTTGCTAACTCTGGGAGCTGTGGGTCACCCCGATTCTCTGTGCCTTGTTTTTCTCACTGTAAAATGGGATAATAATACTCATAAGACTGGCATCCAGCTCAAATGACTTAACAGAGTAAAATTCTTGAGACAGTCCCAGGCGTATAGTGAATATTGTATAAATGTTAGTTATCATTCCTTTGGGTGTTTTTTTCCCCTCTTTTTTCTTTTTCCTGGTAATCGGCCAGGCCAGAAATTGCAGGGACAGAAGTCCTTTCTTGTCTTGAAGTTGCTGATGTGGAAGGGAAATCACAGCTGTCCAACGATGCTGAGTCAGGGAGCCTGGCCGGGTGGCGGCTTAGGAGACAGGCAGCCTGGGGTCTTGCCCACAGTGGAGCAGACAGTCCCGGCCTCCCCGGACCCAGCAGTTCTGCCCAGGAGAGGGACACCATGTGCCTGGAGGTTCTGACGGGCTGTGCCTGTCGCCTGTGCCCACAGAACTTGCACCAGCCCAGCTCCTCCTACCGGGGCCGACTCTGGTCTAACCAGGACAAGCCTGCAGCATTACTCACGGGGCTGACACGTGGTTTTAATCCAGCGCTCTGACAGTATGCTCATGTATTCCCTCCCAGCCTGGCTTGGCCACAGTCATGAAAATTGTTTAATTGATCTTTAGAAAATGGAACAGAAACTCCAAATTCCAAAACCTCTGTCAGTCTCACTGAGACTCTGAGTAACGACGAATCAGTGAGCAGCCTGTGGGGCGGTTCAGAAAGGGGCAGAAGCTGGGGAACAGCACAGAAGGGACTGTCACACCTTTAGTGATGACTGCAGAACAGAGCCAATCTCGAATTTTATTACACACACACCACCACCACCACCACCACCACCACCACCACCATCACCACCACCATCATCGTCGTCATCATCGTGTCTCCCCTCTGCCCCTCTCCCACCCAGAAAACTCCCATCAAGAAGCACTTGAGCCCGGCTGGTGTGGCTCCGTGGATTGAGCGCTGTCGCATGGACTCAGAGGTCCCGGTTTGATGCCTGGTCAGGGCTCATGCCCGGGTTACAGGCTCGATCCCTAGAGGCAGCTGATCGATGTTGATCTCACATCGATGTTTCTATCTCTCTCTCCCTTCCTCTTTCTCTAAAAAAAATCAATAAAAACATATTTAAGAAGAAGAAGAAGCACTTGAGAAGTGCTTTGTAATTCTGTCTGTTTCGATGGCGGAGGAAGATGTGGTCCCTGTCTTCTCCCTGTCCCCTGCCCAGCATGTTGTCCCACCCTCTGTGGCAGGGTAGTGGAGGAACAGGTTTTGCCACCTTTTACTGACATCTTCGAGCTGAGAAAAGATGGCGTTGCCTCTGTCCCTGCGTGGGTTCCTCTGCAGCAGCCGGCGGGTGTCAGGGTTCAGAGCGGGGCATCCTGGGAGGTGGTCTGGGGAAGGGACAGCTAGTGCCCCAAGTGAGGCACAGCCTGGCTGGACGTCCCGAAGGAGGAGAGCATTCTTTCCCCTGTGAGCCCTTAGAAACGAGGAGTCTCTTGCGGGCGGTTACAGCACAAACGAATCGAGTGCTTTCCTGCAAGTGTCCTGGTTTCCCAAACGGTCTCTGCACAGGGCACCGGGCGCTGGGACTTGCCTCGCAGTCCTTCTCAAAGGCCTCTCTGGTGTCCTCTCCCCATGCCATCTGCCCATCTGATGGGGACACCGGTTCACGGATACATCTGTGGCCAGGCTGCTGTCTCCTCGTCGTCCCAGCCCGAGCCCCAGCCACAGTGAGAGCACTTACACCCCTTGGCCAAGGGAAGGACTGCACTGTGTTCCTCGCCTGCCTTACTGTTACTGTGTTTCTTCAGGCGCATTGTAATCCGTTGCTCGATGCTCTTATACACTGCAGTGTTCACGCTGTCAATCCAGTCCCCATCCACTTCCACACACTGAACTGCCTTCTTGCGGTCTGACCGAGGGCGCACTTCGAACCCCGCGGAAATCACCAGAGCCTTGTGTTCGCTGGGTTTTGCTGCGATGGTGCCAGGTGACAAGCAGTGGCTTACGCGACGCTCACCTGTGTCCTGGCTCCGGGGGGCTGGTTCAGGTCTGCACCAGGTGCCTCACCTGGGACACACGCCGGCCGCTCGTGCTGGAGGCAAGCCAAACCGCACGGGCACATTCTCCAGGGAACGAGGGGGACTCTTGGTAAATGGGGGGGTTGGATTTGAGGAGGGAAGAGGAAAGGAGCCCTGTACAGGGAGACAGCGAAGGTCCTACCGTTCCTCCCCCTCCCGCCACCCTCACAGTCAGGAAAGACCCGGTGGGTGTTTTCAGGGGGGAGGGGGAGGGGGGGAGGCGGGCAGGCGGGCAGGCGGGGCGGGTCCAGAGGCACGTGCGCGTGCAGCCGGGGGTCAGCTGGGTTCCGCCAGCAAGCTTTCTAGTATATGGTGCATCTTCCCCTTTCTCCTGCCTCCAGTGTACTCTCTATTATGCAGCTGAATAGTTCTCTTTAGAGGATTTTTCCCCCGTTTGATCAAAGCTGCCTTTCTTTTCCCAAAGCTTTACTTGGGTGGCCCTGTGGGGACATCTGCTCGGGGCCGGTTTGCATCTTTCTCTCTGCACAACTGCACACTTGCCAACTTCCCCAGGTTGTCTGAAGCCAAGGACGGCCGAGAGAGGGATCAAAACATTCTGTCTTGAGACAGTTTTAAAAGACGATTTATTTTCCCCCAGTGGTAGCCAAAAGTTTGAGAATCCAGATTAGGGATCCAGCTTGAAAACATATTTTCCTTTTTAGAAGGAAAAAAACAAAACCCAACCGAATCATCGTCCATGGCCATTTCTCCTTTTAGTTTTAACGTAAAATAGTGGCATTCTCGCCAGCGGCGTGAGCCTGGGCAAACCTTAGCGCTCTGGGCTTGGTGGATTTCTCCTCTGAAAAACAGGGATGCGTGATCCCCAGTTCCTCGTGTTCGCGTGAGGATGAAAGGAAATACTAACTGATATGCAATGAAAGGTTAACCTCAGTGAGAAGGAGCGGGACCCCATACTTCACCTTTTGGGGTCTCCTCTGCAGAAACCCTCACCATTTCCCCGGAGCTGCAATCACTGGGTCCTCAGTGCACCCTTCTTTGCTGTAATAAAAGTGGGAGAGGACCCCAAGGTCCTCCCTGAGGAATGGGTAAAGGAACTGTGGCACATCCCCCCTGTGAACCACTATGCGGCAGTTGAGTAACTACGTTGAAAAAGACAGATGTGGAAGCAGCCTCAGGACGTGTGGTCATGTCAACCAGAGCAGGTTGGAGTAGTCACCTCCTTGATGCTGAAAATAATCACCATGTGTAGTAGACTAAGAAATTGTGCAGCCACTATGGGAAGCCACGTGGTGGTTTCTCAAAGTATCACAGATAGAACGACCTTAGGTTGTAAGTCGAATAGTTATATGATGAATAAGTTCCGACTCAGACACAGCGGCACGGAGGGCTCCTGGTAGCCCTTCTCCCATTGGTCCTGCAGGCTCCCAAGCCCCTCCTCCTGGTGACGCAGGTACCCACGCCACAGAATCACCTGGAGAACTTGTGAAAACAGGCTCCAGGCCCGTTTCTGATTGAGTCGTTCTGGGGCGGGGCCCGCAAATTTGCCTTTTGACAAGTTCCCAGGTGATGTTGATGCTGTTGGCCACTGGTTGAGAAAGCACAGCCCCAGGGTGTGTCTTCGCCGATGCGTGCAGAGTTGGCACCGCCACATCCGTGTGCCAAGAGAGAAAGCTGGGCAGCCAGCGTCCTTTCGAGCAAGAGGGGCAGGCAAAAGTGGCGGACTCCTGCCACGGGCAAGGACTTGGTCACCTGGCCAGCCCTGGCCGCAAGGGCGGCTGGGCAGGGTCATCGCAGCTGAGCAGGGTGTGCGCCTGGTAAGGGGCAGAGCGGTCTGTGGGAGACAACTCGAGGCCTGCAGAGTGGCCCTGGGACTCCCAAGGCGATCAGGAGAGGGCCAGCACTCAGCCGTGGGGACAGATGCGGAAGAGACGCTTATGGTGCTTGGTGACCAGTGTCATACGGTGGTTTATTCAAGGGGGAACCCAGGTCTGCAGCAGCAGTCTCTCCGGGGCCAGCCAGCTACGCTCTGAAGCAGGAGGCCGGCCTCTGGCAGCAGCTGGTGTCACCCACCTGGGCTGCGCCCTCCTCCCTCTGCAGGGGTCCAGGACAGGCCTTCCCTCAGGAGCCTAGCCCTGCTGTTTTGTGGATTGGGCTGACCTTATCCCAGATCTCAAACTCTCTTTCTCTGCCCCGCCCCCCCAGGCGTCTCGGCTCTGGAGAAAGCTGCGTGGCAAGAGGCGGTTGGTGATGGCATTCTGCCTCTTGGTGACTCTGTCTGTGATGGCTGTTGCCCACTTCCCTGCACAGCCTCAGGCCGCCATGGAGCCCCAGGGGGTAACGGGCACCCCTGTCCCCCACAGCCCGCAGGCCCTGAGCTCCCGCCGGAGGCAGCGGACAAGAAACCTGCGTTTTTGGAGAGGCTGGGCCCTGCCCAGGAGCTCCGTCCTGGTGTGTGCTGAGGAGCAAGGCCACAGAGGGAGCATGGACAGCAGCAGGTCCCCGGGAGGGGACAGCAGGCGTGTGGGGAAGGCCAAGAGGGACACCGCTTTGGCATCTCCAGGAGATTTGAGACTCAGTACCCAGGTCAGGGGCCCAGGGGTCAAAGACCTGCGGCCCCCTTGGGAGGACAGTCCCACCCCGGAGGCCCAGAGAGAGACAAGCACCCCGATCAGCCCTCTCACAGGGCACCAGAGAGCTGCTGCTGGACCGACCCTCTGGCCCCATCCAGGGGAAGCCAGGGATCTGCCAGGAGCTGGGAACAGAGCCTTGACTGGCGGGCAGCAAGCAGGGGATCCCGCCCCGGCCACAGGGACTGGTCGGTGGCCTGGCTCTGTCAGGGAGCTGCAAGGATCTGTCTGGTGTGCTGCTGAGACCCCTGGTCTATTGACGAGCTCAAGGACCGGTGGGCAGGTGCCCCCATGGCTGACAGAACATGATGTGCAGACCCTCCAGCTGTTGGCGCAGGGGGAGGTGGTGGGCAAAGCCAGGGTCCCCGGCCACGGGCAGGTGCTGCAGGTTGGCTTCTCCCCCAGGGGTGTCCTTCAGGCCGTGTCTCCTGGGCTCAGCACACTCTGCTCCCAGGGGCTCTGTGGCCTGATCAAGAGGCCTGGGGACCTGTCTGAGGTCCTGTCCTTCCACGTGGACCGCGTGCTGGGGCTGCGCCGGAGCCTCCCCGCGGTGGCCCGGCGCTTCCAGAGCCCCCTGCTGCCCTACCGCTACACAGACGGTGGCGCGAGGCCCGTCATCTGGTGGGCACCCGACGTGCAGCACCTGGGCGACCCAGACGACGACCAGAACTCCCTGGCCCTGGGCTGGCTGCAGTACCAGGCCCTGCTGGCACGTGGCTGCGGCGGGCCGAGCCCGCGGTCGTGCCTGGGCATCGGCTGCGCTGAGTGGGCACGCCTGGCCCTCTTCGACTTCCTGCTCCAGGTACGTGGGGCCGGGCCGGGGAGGGCTGGAGAGCAGCAGAGGTGGGGGGCGGAGGGTGACCCCACCCCCAGGCCTTGTCTTTTGACCACCCAGCCCCTGTTTTTGTTATTTTCCAGTCTCGTGTTTATCCATCCAGCTCGTCGGCTGGACGAGCGCGTATCAGCTCACAGGAGCCGATGGGTCAGATTCCCAGGCCTTCTGTGACCTGGTTGTGAAACAGGCCTTTTAGAAACGAAATGATATAGACTAACAATATAATCATCACACTAGCAGCAAAAGCAATAAATATCCAGAACTCACTGCCTCCTAATTCTTTTACCATGTCTTTCCTGTCATCTGTGCCCTTGCGGGTATTTGCGTCTGTCTGGTGAACACTGCGCAGTGATGGCTACTCGGCTCCTGCCGACTCCGCTCAGTCCGGTTGGCAGCGTGGACTGGCCAGGGCGGGACTGCTACGCCATGAAGGGCAGCACGTGCTGCGCAGGGGGACCCACCTCTCCTGGGGAGCTTAACGCCTATCAGCACACGGCTGCTTATAACGTCATATCCTTGACTCCACAAGGACTCAAGGTGGTTGTGTAATTTAAACGTGAGAGAGAGAGAGAGGAGAGAGAGAGGAATGGATGCCACTGGTCCAGTCTGGGCACGGAGAGGGAGCCGCAGGGCCGCTGAGGCCCCTGCTGTGCCAGGGGGTAACCTGGAGTTTCTGGGGATCCTGGGGAAGGGGCTGGAGTTCCTGGGAGCTACTGACCGGCCTGGGGTCACTCTGTGGTGCATAGTCCAGGTGTCTCTCAGAGTCTCCTCCCGGGATTGTGTCCCAGGTCCCCGCAGTGGTCATTGCTGGCCTTCCCTGTGTCATGTCCCCTCTGTGTTTGGGATCAGCTCGCAGATAAACTGCTTTTGCTCGAATCCTCATCGCGAGGCCTGTCCCTGGGGGAGCTGGATCCAGAGGGTAACACACCCTGTGCGGCTTCTGCACACAGGATCCTTCGTGTAATGTACTGAGGACATTGCCTGGTGGGTGGCACACGCTCAAGAACTCGCAGGCACTGTCCCCAACACTCTCGGGAGTGGACTCATCCCGTCCTCACGGGAAGCTTGTGAGCGAGATACTACATTTATCTCTAGGTTCGAGTGGAGAAATTGAGGCCCGGAGGGGTGAAGTTCCTTGCCCAAGGTCACGGCTGTGGAGCGGAGATGCAGGCTGGACGGTCTGACTCCGGAGCTCACCCTCTCAGTCAGTCACTGTTCACCTGGCCGTGACTGAGGGCAGGAGCAGGGGACCTTTGCAGGGATGCCCTTGAGATCCAGCCGCTGTGCACACGGCAGCTTTCTGCTCCACACAGAGGCCCTCTGTCTGCCTCCGGGTTGCGGTGGGGACCCTCCCTCAGCTGCCAAGGCTGCTGTGGGGGTGCACATCGCAGCAGCCAAAGCACACACAGCTTGGGTGTGTGATCAGACGCGACTCGGCTGGCCTCGTGCCATCTTCTTCCTGTCTGCTGAAGGCTGGTCAAGCCCAACACTGCTGCCTGGCTGGTGCTGCCTTCCTAGAAACCGCTGGCCAGTGGAGAGAGGCGGGCTGTGGGTTTCCCAGCACAGGAACTGCAGGTACCGTCGGACCCGGAGCTGGGTCCGAACTCCACACACAGCCCGCTCTGTGGTATGCTTGCTCCTTGGTTTTGTTTGGTCCAGAATAAACCCTTTTCTGTGTGTGTGTGTGTGTGTGTGTGTGTGTGTGTGACAACATACCACTCACCTGGACACGAAGTACATGAGCACTGCACACATACACATCCTTACACCCCCGAGTCTGTGCCTTGCCAGCGCCGCACCGCGCCCTGTGTTAGTGACTGTGGACATAACGCCGTGTAACAAACCTCTCCCCCCTCACAGCTTAAAACACCAGCTCCTCGCTCCTGTGGGGCAGCTGGGCTCACATGAACTTGGCTCCCAGCTGTGGGTGGTTCGGGACTGCTCTTCCCTCCCCCTCTGGAGCCCAGGCTGCAGCAGAGTCCCCGCTGGGCGAACCTCTCCCGGGGGATGGGAGAAGCCTGAGAGCTCAGACAAACCGCAGGAGCACATTGGGGCCAATGTCTACTCAGATTCCTTCGGCCAAAGCAAGTCCCTGGCCAAGCCCATCAGGGAAGGGACGCGCTCTGCCCAGAGCGGAAGAGGGAGAGGATACAATAGTTATGGGACAATAATCAAATCGATCACACACACCTCAGACAGACGCACTGTACACGTAGACATGCACCTTATAAGCCCGCATGAGCGGCAGCCACACATCAGTGCGGACACCCCGTATGGAGCCCAGATGCTGCTGTGAGCCACGGGGCTCATCCTGCTGAGACCTGTGGGGAGCATGTCGACATGCCTCAGAGCTGTCCCCTTGGGGGCCAAAGAAGCCTGTCCTTTCCCCACCAACTCCGAGCATGTTCCGCACCCAGAGGGGGCTAAGCAGAGGGCCATGGGCACTGTGGGTGGGAGTCGTGATGCCCAGGGCACACGGGAGGGGTACCGACGCGTCCGCTGCAAGGGCCCGAGGTCGGAAGTGAGTTCCGCAGGCCTGTGCTGCGGGTTTCAGCAGGTTGGTTTCTTCCCGATGAGATCGGCCCATTTCCCTCCCAAGGGGCCCGTTTCAGCATTTGTGATCCTGTGTGTGTTCCTTCTTTTGAGTCCAAATCTATGGCTTTGGTTCATGGATACCTCCTCTGGCTAGGTGTACCTGGGGCACCAGGTGCGCTATCAATGAGAGGAGCCCCGATTCACGACCCCTGCTGACCTCTCAGGCTTCCAACCAGAGACGTGAACTAGAATAGCAGCTACCACAACGTCTGACACAAACCACACACATGAACCTATTAAGTCCCACAACGGACCCAAGAGATGAGTGCTGTGCCCCCCGCCCCCCATCTCGCAGATGGCGCAGTGAGCAAGGGGAGAAAGCACCCACCTGGACAAGGGCGTTCAAGGGTGACGTCGAGCATCTATTCATATGTTTAATCAAAGTGGACCCGAGATCAGGGTGAGGTGTGATAGGCAGAACTCTAAGACGGCCCCAGATTCCCACCCCCCAATATTAACCCCTTCTCTTGAGTGTGGGTGAAACCTGTGAATACGATGGAATATCACTCCAGTGATCAGGTTACTAATTACTTAACCTCGAGTTTATTAAAGGCGAGGTCATCCAGGCGAGTCTTTGGAAGAAGACCAAGCACGTGTGAGGTCTCAAGGGAGAAGCAAACAACTCAGGATGAACGCCCGCGGGCAGGGCAGGCCTCCCGGAGGACTGATTCCCGGGGAGCAGTCCTTCGAGTTCAAGGGGTGGTTTCTGCCGACAGCCCGGAATGAGTTCAGGAGGCGACCCCGAGCCACCAGTGAGATGTGACACCTTGTGTTCAGCCTGGAGACACCCTGAGCATGGAACGCGGCAGGAACGTGATGGACTCCTTCCTGACCCACAGGAACCGTGAGGGGGTCCATGTGTCCTTTTAAGCCACTGAGCCCCTGGGAATTCGTTAGGCAGCATTAGAAATGAATGTAGGGGGCAAGGGAGGGCCCTAGGGGCAGACACTGTAGGTGGGCTCACTCTAGGGTGCTGACCCTGCACGACCTTGAGGGTGGGCATCTCCCTCAATTTCTTCTTCTTCGCCCCAATCCTGACTCTGTTTAGACGTTTTTAAGGTTTTTAAAAAAACTGTTTATATTTTTGCCCCATTTTCTGTTGGGTGGTTGGTCTTTTCCTTAACGGTTTCAAGAGCTTTTTACAGTTATAGGAAATCATTCTTGTTTTCATTGCATTACAGTGTTTCTCTCAGGTTGAACCGTCATTAAGCTTTGTTTATAGTCTCTCTGCTGTGCAGGAATTTAAAACTGTGTACGTTGTTAAAATCATCAAGTCTTTCTTTTATGATTTCGAGGTTAGAACATTATACTTTCAAAGGTTAGCCTCACTTCAGGGTTATTTTAAAATTTCTCCCGTGTGTTTTCCTACATCTTTGATCCATCTGGAAGTTATTTGGGGTAAGAGATAAGGTGCAAAACAGCGATTTTCCCCCTCAGATGGCAACGCACATGTCCCAGCCCATTTGTTGAATAATCCCTCTCCCCCCAGTCTGCAGCACTGCCGGTTCCCATATGTACGCAGCTCTATTTCTGGGCTCTTTTCTGTTCCAATAAAGGGTCTATTTATATGCCAGGATCACACTGTTTTAATTACTGTGCTTTCTGTCTCATGTTAATAACAAGCAGGGCATGGTCTTTCTCATCGCTCTTTCTCAGAGTTTTCCTGAGACTCTTGCACCCTGTTCTTATGAAACTTAGTCACCTTGCTACTTTCTTCTCCTTCCCAAGTCCTGCTGGATTTTATTGGAATCCAGTTGAGTTTGTGTGGACTGAGAGAGAGAGAGAACGTATACCGTAAAATGCAGTCTTCCCGCCAAGAAGGGAACATGTCCCTTTCTCTATTCTTGCTCCTCAAAGCGTCTTCATTTCCTTCAGCTGCGTCCTGACTTTCCTGTTGGGTTACTCCTGGGCATTTCATCCTCTGTGGCCTTGAAAATGGACCTTTCTCCTCCTTTATACGTTCCGGCCGGTAGCTCTTGGTCTGCGTGAAGGCTACTATCCCTGGGTAGTAGTTTGGTTACTGGCCACCTGCTAACTTTGCTGGCTTCATCAGTGCTAGGTTTGTCCTTGGTTTTCCAAGTTCAGCATCATTTCATCTGTAATGACCGGTCTGCCTTCTCCTCGCCTCAGACATGGCTGGAACCTCCAGAGCAGTGGTAAATGTTAGCGGAATGATGGGTGTGACTTGTTTCTGCGGACTTGGGACACTTGCTAGAGTTTTTGCTGCAGAGGTTTTAACAGCTGCTGGGTTTTGTGTCGATGTTTAAAATGTAGCGTGATCTACACCTGTCTCTTTACATAAGATCTAGTTCTTCTCCCTCTGTCCCCTCAGAGGCCTTCGGCAGCCTCTTCGTCCACACCCTCAGGCTTGGTGCAGGCGTCCGTCCAGAGGGTCCTCCCGGAGCCTGGGGACGGTGGGAGCACCGCGGGCGGAGGCCTCAGGGACAGTGAGAGTCCCTGCAGGAGCCCGCTCCTCCCCCACGCTCTGACCTCCGGAAGCCTCATGGAATCTTGAGCAGCCAGCCAGTCATTGTGGGACCAGCCCACTGCCCTGGGAGAGAGAAGCTGGCACCCTAGACCGCAAGCCAGCCCAGCCAGGAGCCACCCCTTCCACTTAGAAGGGCCCCGTGCCTGCCCCCACGTTGAGGGAGGGTTCCTGTGTGGTGGGGTTGGGTAGGGGTGGTGGGGGCATGGGCCCCGGGGTAGCCGCTAGCTCTTCTGGAATCCAGCAGACCCGACCAGGCCTGGGAGCCCGGGGGATCGTGGGAGAGCTCGGCCACCCCTCGTGCCTTGTGCTGGGCCCCCAGACCTCGTCTCCTCCTCAGCTGGGCCTGGTATTCCTCCTCGGCAGACTGCAGTGTCTTGTCCCACCCAGATGTCCTGTTAGGAGACCACAGAGCCAGGCCTCCCCATGGAGCCGTCTGGTGATGGCACCCGGGCAGGGAGGTGGCGTGATGGGCAGGCTCTCAGAGATCACGGTCCTCCTGTGAAGTCCCCTCAGGTCCTGCCTGCTGTCAGCCAGCCATGCACTTCACCCATTCATTCTTTCACCCCAAGAGCGACAACTGGGTCCCCAGCTGTGCCGCACAGGTGCTGGGTGCCGGGTGCTGGGATCAGCTCGCACCATGTCTCCGTCTTTGCCCTCAGCGATGCTGGAAAACACATGCCAGTCACATCTGACAGCCTTCACTGTCCAGACTGTCCAGACTGCCCCGGCTGGGTCAGGCTGGCGCCACTTTCACACGGCGGCACCCTTGCACTTACCCGTCCTCGGTGACTCAGTTTCCCCGCCTCTGAAATAGGGCTAATAACAGATCCGCCTCCTGCCTGCTGGGCGTGCGGAGCGCTCAGAATGGGCTCCACCACGGCTGAAGTTAGACAGAAACCTCCCTTCACATCAAGATTGTGCAGCATTGGCAGGTTGGTCCGAAAATCACAACAGCAAAGGATTATCTTTTTTTCATTTCGGTAGCTCCCCGTTTTTTCAAAAAGGGGAGAAAGAATCAAACACCAAAGGGTCGTAGAAATGAAACTTGGACTTGGTCGTGTTGGCTGCCAGTCTGCTGCTATTTAAATGGAATTTTTCTTCAGTGGAAAAGAGAACCAGACGGCGTGGCACAGTAACCAAGCTGGCAGCGGGGCCCGGCCAGGCCCCTCCCGTTAGACATCCACTGGGCGAAGATGGGGGGCCGGGATGCACATGTGGTGGGGCCACAGTCCTTGGAGATTTCTCTGGAGATGAACTGCTGCAAGGTGCCATCTTGCAGAATGGCCCGGGGTCGTGTGTGGCCTCCAGGGAGGCTGGGTCAGCAGCAGAGCCAGGCCCCAGGCCAGAGCACAGGAGCAGCTGTGGGTGGAGTGGGTGTGGCTGAAGTCCCAGCTGACCTGAGCCATGGGCACACAGCTGTTGGGGTGCAGGGTGGGCCCCAGCCAGAGGGGCAGAGCAGAAGCCCCAAGGGGAGCCGGAGACCAGTTACAGAGCCCCCAAGGGCTGTCCCCAGTGTGTGGGCCAGGGGCCAGGTGGCCGGGGTGCTGGGCCAGGTGGACATGAGCCGCACACCGCCCTCAGAGGACGGGTGTCCCCGCAGGTCCATGACCGCCTGGACCGCTACTGCTGCGGCTTTGAGCCTGCGCCCACGGAGCCCTGCGTGGAAGAGAGGCTCCGGCAGAAGTGCGCGAACCCGGGCGAGCTGCGGCTGGTCCACATCCTGGTACGTCCCCTCGCCTCCAGACTCCAGGCTTCCCGTCTCCTTCGGGCGATGGTTTTGGTGCAGTCCAGAGATGGTGCGGCCCTGGGGGCTCCCAGTCCAGCTCCTTAGCAGCAGAACCCTCTGAGTAATACGTGAGAAACATGGAGCTTTCAGAACGTGGTTGCGTGTCAGGTGGGCTGGAGCCTGTTTCACCGACGTCACTGTCCCCCAGAGGCACCAGGGAGCCCCGAGGGCCCTGGCAGCAGAGGGTGGGAACTGTTTGTTTCCTCGGACCTCCTCCTTGTGCCAGTGAATGTGCAGATTGTGGCCCAGCCTGGGGGAGGGTGTCTCCAGGGCCACGGGCCGGCTGGTGGCAGTGGCAGGCTCCCTCCTAGGACCCTGATGGCTCACAGGCTGGTGCTGATCAGAGACACACTGTGCTGTCTCCTGTGGAAACGACTCAGGGTGGGAAGTGATGCGCTGTGGCCGCACAAGGAGCGAGGAGCGCCTGGGGACAGTGGGCTCCGGCTTCCCCCCAGCGAGGCCTCGTGTCCCTGTGGCCCCACTCAGACAGCTGCTGTGGGAGGGTAGCTGTCCGCCGGGTGCCGGGCTGAGCTTTAGGCGACAGCAGCCCGGAGCCCAGGGCTTCTCGGGGAGGCGCTGGGTGGTGGGAATGCTCCATCCCCGGGCCGAGCCGGCCCGCCCTCCCTTGGTAAGAGGTAAGGCTTTTCTGTCCATCACTTACCCCTGGCGGGTAGCCATGTAACAGGCCCTCAGTTTTCAGAAGGAGGCTTCATCAGGCTTTGAGAAATCGATGATCCCTGCTCTGTGGAGAGGGGTGAGGAGGGAGAAGGGGCGGAGAGAGGGAAGCCAGGCTCCTGGAGATAAAGGCTCATCATTTGAGCCTTGGCCACTGGAGAGAATGATTGGAAGTGACCTTGAAATCTGGGAGAATGTATAGGGATGGGGTGTGCGCATGCGCTGGGAGGTGGGGACCGCAAGAGATGGCCTTTTAGTCACAAATACACCCTGGTTTGAATTCCCTGCTGCTGCTGTTAGTTTTGGAGAGGTTCAGGAGGCCTCACACTCTTCTCCCACAGAGAGGGAGCATGGGGGATGAGTGTCGTGCGGCTCAGGGATGCCCAGTGGGGCAGGGCGCGTGTGTGAGTGTGCACGTGTGCCGGACCTTCTGCAGTTCTGCCGGGCAGCCCACCTCGGACCCGCCCATCCGCACCCACACTCCTCAGCCCTCACCACGCGGTCCCTCTGCTTTGCAGTTTCGCAGGATGGCACCGCGGCCTGGTCCGGGTTTGAACCGCTAATTAGTAGCAGTGGGACCTTGTGCAAATCACTCACCCTCTTTGTGCCCCCGTTTCTGTAAAACGGGGCTCATACGAGTGGCCCCCTCTAAGGTTGCTGGGGAGGCTCGTTGAGCAGTGTCCGTCCGCACAGAGGCAGCGCCTGGGGCCGTCTGGGCAAGTAGCAGGGTGGATGGTGGGACTGTCAGCTCAGGGCCCCCCAAGCCCCCTCACCCTGACAGAGTCCCTGGGTGCCAGCGAGGCTGCACCCTCACCCGCCCGTCTCTGCCCATCTTCTCCCCTGAGGTCCGGAGCAGCCATCCGTGTCATCTGGTCTACATCGACAACGCCGCCAACCTGCAGCACCCTGAGGACAGGCTGAACTTCCGGCTGCTGCAGGGCATAGACGGGTGAGGGTCCAAGGGCCGGGGGAGGTTCAGGGGCTGAGGCTCGATGGGACCTTCCATCGTGGTTCCCGAGAAGTCCGCGGTCCGTCATCAGACCACAGCTGTTCGATCTGAGCCTTAGGGGTGGGGTGGGAGCCCCTGGGAAGCCGAGAGGGGATACAGCTGGGGGTACAGTCCGCAGGCCCTTCAGCTCCTGGGTGGACTGCTTGGTCCCAATATCCAGAGGTCATCCGGGCCCCACAGAACGCCAGCTGGCCAGAGGGGTAAGGGCAGGCCAGCCCTTCCCTTGCCCCAGATGGGGAGGTAGCCTGGCAGCCTCTCTTCTCTGCTCCGGCTTGGCAGGCAGCTCAGCCTCCACGGACTCTGCGGCATTTGCCAAGCAGAGCAGCAGGCATTGCCCGGGAGAGCAGAGTTGGTTCGCCGGCTTCTCTGTGGGGCGGGGCCACCTGAAAGCTCTACCCACCCCGTAGCTGGTCAGCCAGGGTGTGGCCCTGGGACTCGGCGGGCTGACCTGGCTGGGGTGAGTCCCCGTAGCTGGTCAGCCAGGGTGTGGCCCTGGGACTCGGGGGGCTGACCTGGCTGGGGTGAGTCCCCGTAGCTGGTCAGCCAGGGTGTGGCCCTGGGACTCGGGGGGCTGACCTGGCTGGGGTGAGTCCCCGTAGCTGGTCAGCCAGGGTGTGGCCCTGGGACTCGGGGGGCTGACCTGGCCGGGGTGCCCCACGGCGCAGGTTCTGCCATCTGGCTCCGCCTTTCACGGAAACTCTCCGAGGTGGATTTTGCTTTTCCTGCCTGTGCTGACGTTCGGGGGACTTTCGTCCAGGTTTCCCGAGGCTGCCGTGAAGGTTCTCCAGTCGGGGTGTCTACAGAACATGCTGCTCAAGTCGCTGCAGATGGACCCGGTGTTCTGGGAAAGCCATGGCGGGCAGCAGGGGCTGAAGCAGGTCCTCCAGACCCTGGAGAAGCGAGGACAGGTCCTGCTGCGACACATCCGGGAACACAACCTGACGGTCTTCCGGGACCAGGACCCCTGAGCCCGCGGCTGGGTGCTCACAGCCAACCCGAGTGGATGAGTGCCCACGCTGACGGCCACGCGTCCTCGGTCCACCCATCTTGAAGACAACTGGGAACCCTGGAGCCGGCAGGGCACCGTGGTGCCGTGGGCCGTCACCTGCTTGGGATGGTGGGAGGTATGGGTGTTGGGCTTTCAGTCTCACCCTTTCTTCTCTGCCTTCTCAGCTCTGGTTATTCACTTCCTTGCATCAATAAAGACTTTCAAGAATGTTCTGAACTGTTCCATGTACTGTGAAATCGTGCGTTTGCAAAGCTGGACTAACTCTGTGTGTGTGTGTGTGTGTGTGTGTGTGTGTGTATGTGGCATGTATACATATCTGCACATATGTGAGATGAGCCAAATAAAGGGTCTTCACAGAGTGGCCCAGAACTGCTTGGGCTGAAAGTCGACTCAGATCGACTTTGGAGAAACAAAACACAAAGCATTTTGTCCTTATAGGCTTTGGATGTTCAATTCTCATTCAGTTATGTTTTTGGTCTAAGAATTATGAAAGTAATACATGCTCACCAAAAACAAAGTCATAAATAATAGAAGCACTTCAGATAAAACATGAACGTTCCAGAAACTCCCTAGAGATGTGTATGTGTGTATTTTATTTATACTCACACTACGTGCAATTTAAACTATAATAAAAGTTGGATCATGTATGTTTGTCAACTCATTACTTTCCCTTTACTGTACTCTGTATTTTCTGTACTCTGTACCAGCCACCTGGTTTGACTGATTCTTACTGATGACTGCATAGACTTCCAAGGCAGGGCTGTGGCATGTTTTACGGAGCTGTTCTCATCATGATGAACATTAGGGCTCCAACTTTTACCAATGATAAACAATGCTGCCATGAACATCTTTGCATGGTATGCAATTATTTCTGCCAGGTACATTCACATAAATGGATTTCTGCATCAAAAGGTAGGTATGAGCATTTATTATTTTGAGAGAAATTGCCAAATTTTCCTCTGAAATTGTGGTGTCAAGTTATTCTCCAACCAAGAGGGAGGGGACTGAATGTCTTCCCAGCACCTTGCCAATAATTATGCTCAAAGTTTTCTTCATCCGATAGGGAAACCTACTTTTAAAACTGCATTTTCTTAATCACTAATGATGTTATCTTTTCAACTATTTACTAGTCGTTTGGGTTTGATTTTCTGTGAGTCGCCTCTTTCTCTTGAGATGTTTGTTCCTTCCTTGTTAATTTGTTGGAGATCTTTGAATCTAATTAACGTAATCAATCTTTTCCCTGTTCGTTATGTTGTAAATATTTTCTTTCAGTCTGTCACTTGTCTCTTGACTTTGTTTATGGTGTCTTTTGCCAAGTAGAAAATTTTAATTTCCATGGAATCAAATCTGTTTTCCTTTCCCTTTAAGTTTTCTGAGTTTTATGCCTTCTTAGAAAGGCTGTCACTATTGCAAGATTATTGAAATAATCTCCTATGGCCCAGCCAGTGTGGCTCAGTGGTTGAGCATCGACCCATGCACCAAGAGGTCGCCAGTTCAATTCTCGGTCAGGGCACATGCCCAGGTTGTGGGTCCAATCCCCAGTGGGGGGCATGTAGGAGGCGGCCAATTGATGTTCTCTCTCATCGATGTTTCTCTCTCTCTCTCCTTCTCCCTTCCTCTCTCTCTCTAAAATCAACAAAGAAAAAATACATAAAAACAAAAGAAATAATCTCTTATGCTTTATTCTAGTGTTTAAAGTCACTCTCAACCCATATAAAATTCATAGTTGGGAATGGTGTGAAGTTGGGATCTAATTTAAGTTTTATTTTACCCCCAAATAGATTAGTCAGTTGTTCCAACGTCATAACTCAATAGTCTGCTTTTTCTCTGCCAATCTGAAGATACTCTTACAGTGTACTGAGTCCCCTGGTCTGTTCCCTTGATATTTTTTCAGTTCTTGCATCAATATGACACTGTTTTAATTATAGTTATTCTATTATTTTGCTATTTGGTAGTAGGACAAGTTCTCACCTTTTTTATTTCTACTTTAATTCTTTTTTATGCTATTTTTGTGCATTTTTCTTTAATATAATAGTGTCAATCTATGAAGCATGCCCCCCCCCCCATTGTCCTCAAAATCTCATTAGTATTTTGATTGGGATTGTAATTAGTTTATAGATTAATTAGTAGGAATATGATTCATTTGCAATATAAAATTTTATAAAAATCTGTAGTTTTTACTGCTATTGAGAATGAGTTATTTTTCTTTATTCGTTTTTTTCTCAATAGAATTGTGGATGCATATCTTAAGAGTTTTTAAATAGAAAATCCTATTTTCAAATAATGATACTTTTACATTTTTAGTTCACAAATGTGTGTATGTATATGTGTGTATACATGTATGTGTTTGTATGAACACCTGTATTTCTGTTGTATTACTATTTTGGTTGGGGTCTCGGGGTAACGCTGAGTAAACAGCCACAGTCTCAAGCATTCTCGTGTTACTCCTGACTCGAATGGGAACACCTTTCGAATCCCACTATTGAGTGTTATCAGGTTTAAAGAAATTGTTGCTGATAAATACCTTTTATTTAGCTAAGGAAGTTTCTTTGCATGCTTAGCTCACTGAAAGACTTTTTAAAACGCCAGGACCAGGGATTGAATCTCATCAACGCTTTCTCGGTGTCTGCAGGAGGTCCAATTCTGCTCCACTATTTCTAATGCTGACTCATTGGTCCATTCCCAGAATGACCCCATTTGGCTGAGGCCTGGCAGCCTTTTTGGAACGACGGGGTTTAACTTGTTAATCTTTTATTTAGAGTCTTTGTGTGTATGTTCATATGTGTCTACGGTTCCCTTTCCTACGCACTCCACGGCCGTCCTGTTATTAAAGGCGAGCAGCCCCATGAAGTGGATTCGGACTTTCCTCTTTTCCATGCCCAGGAGCAGCTGAGATGGGAACCACGTATTTCTCCAGGTTTGGGAGCGCCTGCCCATAAACCAGCTGGGCCCGGTGCTTCCTCCAGATGCTGTACAACCTCCCGGGGCGCCTCCCAGCCGACGGGGAGGGGCAGTTGGGGCTGCACACACCCGGCACGCCTGGCATATTCGGCAGGCATGGGAGGCAGCAGTGTCCTTAGAACAGGGAGTTTGGCTTCAGAAGGCCCAGATATTTTTTCTAAGATCAATACATTTGTCTTCCTTTGACTTGTATTTTCTCCTCTCCCTTTTTCCAGCTCTTTCCTGGGACACCCTACCAAGGGATGCTGCCCCTCCTGGACGCAACCAGTGTCCACTTCACTGCCCCGCTCTGCCTTCTGTCTGGAGTCCCCCTTCCCTCCCTCCCGCCTGACGCACCTCACTCAGCCAGGATTGCGAGCGAGACGCTTATCAGCCTAGAAAATGTTAAGGAGAGAGCAAAGTGGAGAAGCATTCCATTGCCAGAGCACAGTAGGGTGCGCGCATCTCTGTACGGGGGGTCTTTCTTTCCACCCCGCTGGACTGTGAGACTCAAGGTCAGCGGGCAATCGAGGTGAAGGCGGCTGGCAGTGCCCGCGTGAGGCCCGGGCTGAGCCACGTCCCAGAGCAGGTCTCCTTCGCATGGAAGGGTCTGGGTGGCTGCCTGGGAGAGGAGGGGACATCTGTCCAGCAGATGGGTGGGTTGGCTGGTCTGCGGGTGTGTGTGTGTGTGTGTGTGTGTGTGTGTGGTTTCTCTCTGAAGATACCAGCCAGAATCTTCCTGTCAGTGAGCAAGGCCCCAAGCTTCTAGCAAGTGCTTTCGTGTCCTGATGCGAACAGGTCTGCTCAGCTCAGAAAGAGGGATCATGGTGGACACTCCGGCCCCTCCCTGCCTGCCCCATGCCTGTCAGCCGCCTGTGGGTGGCACTGTGGGGTGGGGCCCAGCTCTCCCTGCTCAGCCCACCCACCAAAGACACCACCTCCTCAACACTGCCTCTTCCTCTGGGGAGGGGGATGGGGAGGGGGTGCAGGGGGCTCCAAGTCCAGGTCTGCCCATGTCCAAGAACTTCAGGTCGAGCCTAGTCCCTACTCTGGCTGCTCCTGAGCTGAGAATGACTCTGATTTGGGGGCACAGGCCCCTCAATGTGCTGCTGTTCCTCAGCAGGTGTCCCTTGACTTCCTACCTTCTGCTTCAGAAAGTCTTCAAATATATATCTGTATATCTGTATCGATCCTTAAAAATGTTTCTAGTTTGCCATTCAGAGGACTGGACTTGAATGCAGGAGCCGTGGGTTCAGATCTGAGGTTAGCACTTGACAAGTGGTCACTGAGCACTTGCTACAATAACCACTAACATTCAGTGAGTGGCGACTATGCACCCAGGCACCACGACTGTGGTTTGTACGGTTTAAAGCACTTAACCTCCCTACAGCCTGCTGGGAGCTGTGATTATAATGATCTCCATTTTGCAGATGAGGCACAGAGGGGTTAAGTAACTTGTTCAAGGTCACCCAGCTGGTAGGTGGAAGGGCCAGAATTCAGATCCAGGCAGGAACTGTGTTAACTAGTCTTGAGCCCAGGACCACCACTAAAAGTTGCTCCCAGTGCCCTCTCCGGCCGCTCTGACAGCTCCTCCTTCTCTAACCGCTTCGGATCGGATCGGAGCTGATGGTGAGGCGGGCGTTCCCCGGGACGTGGAGCAGCAACCTGGGACTCGGCCAAGCACATTCACATGCCTTGGCTCCTGCCCACTGCGCCTTGCTGGTTAGTCGGCTCAGTCTATGAACCGCGTCTTTCCTGCAAACTTGAAACTTCATTTGCTTTTCATCCTTTTCGGAAAGCACTCTCAGCCTCAGGGCGGGCTGCTTGCCCTGTGCTTCCGCCGTTATCTCTGGAATGAGACTGATGTGCCAAGGGAAGCAAATTGCCAGGGATGGCAAATCAGGACATCCCCAACAACTCAGAGGCTTGGAGGGCAGAAGCTGCCAGGGGGCTGCAGTGCGGGGGGGGGGGGGGCTGTCTGCTCAGTGGCAGGCTAATGGGCCTTCAGGAGGAGGCTCTCCAAAGGGCGCTGGCGAGGCCGTCACAATCGCTGGCCACTATGCTGCTCGACTGGCCTCACCCCAGGCCTGAGCCTGTCCCTTTGCACCTCACCCCAAAAAGGCTCCTCCAAGGAAAACGATGGCACTTCCGAGCGGGAGAAGCTGATGATAGTAACAGAAGTTCACGACTCTCT